TCGGGATCTGGGGCACGCACGCACACGCGCCCGGCGTGAGTTTTAAGCCACCGGGTCCGGGACACGAACCGCGGTCGACTACGTAGGAATCCAGCAACATAGCCATTACGCTAACTGCTGGTTCCCATACCTGCAAGTCATTTTTTACTCCTTTAATTTTGTCACACCTACATTCAGGCCATTAGCAAAATCTTTAGGCTTTTCTTTCAAAATACACCCCAAATCTGGCCACTTTTTCACCATGATTACTTTAGTTCAAGTTCTACCATCTTTCTCCTGGATTATTGCTCTCCCTATACCATGATCAGCCCCCCTGATTTGCATCCTTGTCCCACGTACCCTAAATTACAAATAGCCTGGATAATTTTTTTTTTTTTTTTTTTTTTTTTTTTTTTTTTTTGACAGTTTTTTCTATATGGCATGTACACTTGCTGGAGAGACAGAGAAAAAGTGAGAAATCACTCCTTGTGGGGGTAGCCACACTGCAGTCCCTTCTCCAGTCTCCTCTCAGGATTTTGGGCATACATCCACACGTGCCCAAAGTGATTTTTAAGCCCCCAGGGCTGAGAATCAAACCACAGAATTGGCCATGTAGAATCTAGCTCCTTAATCTCCATGCCACCTGTTGGCTCTAGCCAAAATAAGTTTTATTTGTTTCCTATATTGTGTATAGTATATTTAATATTGTGTTTAGTATATTGTGTATTAGAATGAGCTTCTCCCTATAAAAACACCATCAAGTGAATTGCTGGGTTTCCCTGATTGCAGGTTCTCTACTGGCCACAAGAAATAAGTGAAAGTGGTATAGAAAATAAAGGCCTGGGGCCAGTAGGTGGTATGATAGTTGATGCACTGGATTTGCACATGTTCCACCACAGTTTGACCCATCAGCTTGAGGGTAACACTGGGCACATATGTGTGCATGCCCAAAATCCCAGGAGGAGAATGGAAAAAGGATTGTGGCATGGCCATCTCCCCCCAACACTTTCTCTCTGTCTCTCCCTGTCTCTCTCCAGCAAGTGAACACACTCTAAGGCAAAAATCTATTGAGTTGTCAGGAAAGTCATGACACATTTTTGCATAAACAGAAAAATACATCATAACTTCCCCCAACAACCTAATTAAAACAAAAAAAATAGAAGCCTGTAGGACAGCACGTAGCACAGCAGTTCAGCACCATGTATAAGGAGCTAGATCCCACATGGCTGACCACAGTTAGAATCCTGGCTCTGGAGGATTGAAAAATAGGCCAGGTGCATGAGCACATGCACGCACAGTGAGGGAGCTCTCTTTCTCTGGGGAGCACATGCGCCCTTTGGCAATTAAAAAAAGAAAAAAAATAGAGACCTGCCACACTAAAGTGCTCACAATCTTCATCTCATTGCTGGCAATGGCTCAATTAGAAGTAGAATACCCAAGATCTCTGGCTTCATAAAAAGTCCCAAATTTAGGATGAAATCCCATAGGAACTAATCTGTCATGGTCTGGGGACAGGTGAACTAATTTGTGAGAGCTGAGTTGCCATTGCAATGGATGAAATTCAGATTTTATTCAGGGGAGAACTTGCTGTTGTAGCAGTGGGCTCGCTGCATTCTCCAGGTATTTGGGGACAGGTCTCTGAGCTAGATACTCATGTCTGGTAGGGCTGGACACTCCTAACTCAGCATCCTTTGGCTGGTCACATCAAAGCTCTCCAAAATGATTCTTTTTTAAGCAGATCCTGGCCCAAGGGCCTTGTGGTTGGATGAGCCAGATCTCTCACATGGCTGATGGCAGTCTGAGTCCCAGCCTTGGTGACTTGAAAAATGTACCAGATACATGTGCATGTATGCTCCAGATCCCAACAGGATGGAGAAAAAGAGGAGAAGGACCTCTTTTTTTTTTTTGAGAGAGATTTTTTTTGCTATAGGGTGTGTGCACTTGCCAGAGAGACAGAGAGAGACAGAGAGACAGAAAGTAAGAAATCACCCCTTAGGAGGGGATGGCCACTCCTCAATCCCTTCTCCTCCATTCTCCTCTCAGGATCTTGGGCACACATGCACATGCACCCGGTGTGAGTTTAAGCCACTGGGTCCAGGACCTGAACTGCGGTCGACTACATGGGAGTCCAGCAACATAGCCATTACACTAACTGCTTGTCCCGAGAAGGACCTCTTTTTGCAACATGACCATGCCTCTTGGGAGGGGAGGGGTGAGTATCCTTGCTTTCTCTCTCTTTCTGTCTTTCTCTCTCCCTTTCTTCCTCCCTCTCCCCACCCCCACCTGCACTGGGGAATCGCAGGTAGCCTGTTGGTTAAGGTGCCGGATTCCCACATGGCCAATCACATGGCCAACAAGACATGGCGGATTGCTCTCTTTATATTTCTCTCTCTCTTTCTTTCTCTCATCAAATTAAAAAATAATAACAAGTGAACTTAAATAAATATTTCTTTTTAAAATCGCACTGGGTGGGGCCAGCAGATGATTATGTCACTGGACTCCTATGTAGTCAACTACGGTTCGAGTCTCAAACCTGGTGGCTTAAAACTCACACTGGGCATGTGTGCATGTGTGCCTAAGATCCCAGGAGGAAAATGGAGGAGAAGGGATTTCAGCATGACTATTCCTCTTGGGGGTGATTTCTCACTTTCTGTCAGTCTGTCCCTCCAGTGAGCACATGCGCCCTATACCAAAAATCTCTAAAAAAAAAACCCTCATACTGGGTGCATGTATGTGCATGCACAAGATCCTTAAAGAACAGAGGAAAAGGGATTGTGGCATGGCCATCCCTCCTGGGGGAGTGATTTCTTGCTATCTGTATCTCCAGTGAGCACACATGCCCTATAGCGAAAATCTCTCTAAAGAAAAAGAAAAAAGTAGATCATGTTATTCCTCTGCTCGAAACCTACAAAGATTTCCCATCTCACTCAGATTTAAAAGTCAGTCCTTAACCAAGCCCCTGCAAAGCCCTGAGCTGTCTGACTCTCCCCTTACCTCCTCAGTTCACTCCTGCACTATGCCCCTTCCCTCATTCCCATTCAATAACCTCTGTGCTGTCCTACAAGCAGGACAAGCGTGCTCCTGCATCAGGGTCATCGTACCCGTTGTTCTCCCCACCTGGAAGGCTCTTACCTCAGATATTCACGTGGATCATTTCCTCATTCCCTTCAGCTTTGTGCTCGAGTGTCCCTTTGTCTCTATCTCTGTTAGCCTGCTTTGTTTTTCTGTTTTTCTGCATAGCACATGCCATCACCTAACATTATATATGTGTTTACTGTCTTTCTTACTCCACTAGAATGTGAGCACCATAAATTAATGTAAACAAGGATCTAAGAATTTCAAACAGTGGGCCAGCAGGTGGCATGGAGGTTAAGATAGCTGGATCCCACATGGCTGATGTGCAGTTCAAATCCCAGACCTGGTGGCCCGAAAACACACCAGGCATATGTGCATACAATGCCCAAAGTCTCAGGAGGAGACTGGAGGAGAAGGGATTGCAAAGTGGCTACCCTCCCCAGGGGTGATTTCTCACTCTCGTTTTTATTCTCTCTGTCTCTGTCTGTCACCAGTATGCACGCATGCCCTATAGCAAAACTAAAAAAGAAAAAAAAAGAATTTCAAATAGTGATAACTGCTAAGAGGATAAAATAGTCATAGGATAATAACAAAAAGATCTTTAATTCAAGTAAAGTCCCTTTGAGGTCCTGGCCTGTGCATTGAGCAGAGGGCAAGTGTAAGGATCTCGAGCCAGGTTCAGGCTGGAGCACTTCAGGATATACTAACGTTACACTCCACAAGGCAGGGCCCAAGGGCTGTTCTCCATGAGTGCATATTAGATTGTGCAGAGTTAAAGGCTCTGTCCCTTCCTCAAGAGGTTTCTATCAAGACCCAGACCAGGACTTCCATGCAAACTGACAGCTGCCATTACAAAGGGCCTGCTCCAGGCGTGTCCCCATGGTGAGAGTAGGTAAGAGATGTTGATGTCACTGTGGTTAACCCCAGGAGTCCACACCTGAATCAGGAGGTGAAAAAGATGGTGACATTTGGGTTGAGAGAGGAAAAAAAGGGCAGTCCAAGAATCAAAAAGAACCCAAATAAAGACCTGTCAGTGACAAATCCTGGTGCCCATTTGGAGAGGAGAGGAGCTCAGATTGGCTGGAGTTCAAGGTGCATGTCAGGAAGCAGATGGAGGAGAGGCTTTGGAGGCAGCTGGCACTTTGTAAAGAGTTCAGCTCTTGGCTGGAACTTGGACCGGTCCCTTAATGACTCTCCTCAGCCTCAGTTTCTTTATCTAGAAGATTAGGGTGATACTGGCTCCCGGGGTATAAAGCTGCACACAGCAACCTCAGTAAAAAGAAACCGTTGCCGTGGTTTTAGTTATGAAAGGGCCTTCCTCTATTGAAGGATGGACCGCTTACTACAGCGAGCCCGAATTTGAAATGAAACAAGCCCTGTTAAGACCTGGAGGTCTGAGTCGGCTTTCAAGAGGAGACTTGGAGCGCAGAGGCTGCCGGTCCAGAGTGGGAGGGCGTGAATCCCGGCAGGCTCCTGGGAGGAAGCGGGCGGTGGCACACACAGGGCGGCGAGAGCGCGCGGGGCAAGGGCCAGGAAGGCGAACCGCTCCCTAACCCACGACCCTGATCCATACCTCTCTCTTCTTCCCCTCACCCACCCCGAGACTGGCCCGCCTCGACCCTCTCCAGCTCCCGGAACCTTGGGGACGCGGAACCTCCGCGCCGGAGCGCGGGCGCGGGGGACCCGGAGGGCAATGGAGAAGGCGCGCGGGCCGCGGGCCGAGGCCGACTCTCCAGAGGAGGAGGAAGAGGAGGGCCCGGCGGGCCGCGGCCCGCTACCGGGGCCTGTGCGCGGTGCGCAGCCGCGCCCTGGGCCTGGGACTCGTGTCGCCAGCGCAGCTGCGTGTGTTCCCCGTGCGCCGCGGCTCAGGCGGCGCGGGGGGGCGCGACCGCCGCGGG